TCTCAACAGATAAAGGTTAAAATGCTCAACCTCAAATCTTGTAGCTGTTCCTGCTGGTATATTTAGGCGCAAGCCGTATGCTTTCCTTCGATCAAAAACCAAGGACGGGTTCACCTCAATAAAGTGATAATGGCTTCCCACCTGAAAAACTGATGAATGATTAACACAATAAACAAAAAGATCCTTCAATTCTTCCCTAGAAAAATAACCAAAAAAAATATTGGTTAGCTTGACCATTATATGGTAGCCATAAAGATTTGTAGGTAACTTCTCTGTACACATTAATAGAGTGGTCTATAAAGCAAAAGAACAGAGAGAGATTTGAATTGGCCAAACTCTCAACAAGATAAATAAATCATATCATTCACAGAAGATAAGTTTGCTACACCTGAATTGGCCTGTCTCCAGTGTTAGTGACTTTGAGTCTTACTGCTTTCCTTCCATAATTAAGTGTAATAATCCCACCTTTGAAGATCACTTCACCAGGAACCATTTTATCTTCCATTTCAAGAAATTTCTCAAGGGAAGGCACTGCATTATCAACGTTCTTCTTTTAGTTCCCACTGGGCACTTTACATACTCAAGCAGTAGCAGTTCCAACTAAGCTGCCTAATCTACTAAAATCTTCAAGTATAAAAGTATAATATTACAATAGACTTATTGATATATCATGAGAAGCTTACTGCTCAGATTTCAAAAAGTCAGGTAGGTTAGAGCCAAAAAGAAAAGGAAAAAAACAAGAACTGTATCTTGAGATGAATTTAATTTGAGCTTGAGCCCTGTTCTTTTATGTGAGATCAAGCATGCAAAAATCTTTGCAGAAAACTAAGATCACTCTGCTAAGGAAGATATTTTCAGAATAACATAATATATTGTACATATATTCGTTGAGGAAGTGTATATTTCCAAAAAAATATGATCTAAGCTAAGGCTTTACCAGGTAGAAAAGAACCATGTAAAGCAAGGTCCAAGTTTCCATTTTCACTAGCAATAGCATTGTGAATAGTGATTAACTTTGTCCCATCAGGAAATGTCCCTTCGACCTATATTAAAATAATTATTAGTTTATGGAGCTGCAGACTTTGACAGAAAAATAATTTTAGGGAATAAGATGAGAAAGTCCAGAACAATGACGTTTCATGCACTCTATTTCAGGCTTTTCAAAACATTCATTGTAGAGTTGAAAAGTACAAACAACTTAATGCAGAAAACCAAACTCTTCTAATAGGATAACATATGAAACAATGAATAGCCTATAGAACTGCTGCGGCCAACAAGCAACTAGAAATACAATTTCAGAAGTGATAGGTGTAGAAATACCAAATAAGGATTACCACATTTCTGATAAATAAAGTCATAATAACAAACTGATGAATGCAAACTCCATCTGCTCGCTTTTTACATATAAACCGCATAGTTAAATCACTAGCCAAGCTGTAAATTTGTTTAGGATAAAAACATACGCTGATCATTTTTGAATTGCAAAGGAAAATTCAGTGCCAGCTATGATTACTTAAGCATAATACCTGAACAGATTCCAATAGATGTGGAACAGCCGGAAGAACTTGCCTCCTGTTTAAACATTATTTATTATTTCTATTTCTTCAAGGCACAACATCACAGAGCTTCTAACAAACGAGTAACATAAATAAAAAGAAAACATGATAAATGGCTGCATACCTTCCCAGAAGTTGTTGACCAATTTCCATCAATTTGGCCACAGTCTTGTCACCATCACGAACAAGCTCCAGAATCTATGATGGAAACCATATGAAAAGGGGTATGAAAGCTCAATTTTCTTCAACCATCTCTAAGAAAAATAAAAAAGGAAAACTGGTACACAGCTCCGAAATCAATAACTCGATTTATGAAGAATTTCCAATGAAGTCCTTATTTACCACTCCACTTTATGAAGAGATAATGAAACTAAAATTCCTGAAGCGTGACACTATAAATTGCATAACAACACAAACAATTTTATTTAAAAAAAAAGCATACACAAATATACTCATTCAGGGAAAAAGCTCAACAGAATCTGACAATAAATCACCTGAGTGGCTATGAGAGCAACAGCTTCAGTATAATTGAGCCTAAGCCCACGTGCCAGACGCTTCTGGGCAAGATACCCAGCATTATGAAGGCCTAGCTTCTCCACTTCTTTTGGGGTTAGTTTCATTCTTCTTTTAACTCTATTGCACTTCTTTCTTTCAAAGTCAGTGCCCAACAGTTCTCCACCACCACAGCCCTACTAATTGAGATGATTATTTGAAAAAAGATAAACCTTTTTTATTAGAGTCAAACCCCAAGAAAAAAAAGGCTAAATTTTATCTGTTTGACCAAAGTGACAGAAAATTCTGTAATCTTGAATCAGAATCTGAAATTTTGATCAAATAATATTATGAAAGAGTAGCAGATGATGATAAAGCCTTTAAACATACTTACAACTACATAAACTACAACTATAGTTTCCAAAAGGAAACGGTGAAAATAGGAGGAAAAATGTCTTGCCTTTGGAATGGTTGGAACTGTGCTGAAAGTCTGATTGCCACTCCACCAAATGATGATGAAATGAGAGACTGAGCAGCAGTTTGAAATAATAGCGCTTTGTCCTTTTGGGCTTTGAAAGCTTGCTGTAGAGACCTTGTACCTTAAGCTGTCAATGTTGTACTCTATACAAGGATTCATGGTGATTGAAGTATTTGAAATTCGATTTTAATGGAATTAATTGATGAAATTTAATAAGTTAAGTACTGTTAAAATTTTTTATTTTTGATTAATTCAGTTTTTAAAATTAAAATTTTAACTGAAATGTAAATGAAGGTCTTTACACGAATTTCGTGTAAAAATTAAATTGAAAAAGGTTGTAATTCGATAAAATTTTTCTTCTAATAAAAGAGTTTTTAGAATTTTGGCTTAAAAATAAAGTTGGAGAAAAAAAAAATCCTCAGCAACAAAATGTAAAAAATCATGAGTTAAAATTTTCAATTATTTTTAAAACATATTTAAAACTTCATAAATGGTATCCTTAGTTAAAAAAAAACAAAAACAAAAGAAAAATGGCGGAAAGAGGTGTGCATGCATACGTGACTCTGGAAAGGACAACACATGAGACAAACAAATGCTAAATGTTGAGTGTTTTACGTCAAAAGGACGATGATTGCAGTTTTGAGCTCAGATTCCAATATTAGTGTTTTAAATTACAATTAAATATTTATTAAAAATAATGACTTAAAAATTTCGTAATAAATTTATTTAAAATTTGTTAGAGATTATAAATTTATTGAATATTAATTAGATATTACTTAAAATATTAAAAAATTTTGAAAAAGAAAAATTTTAAGAAAAAAATTTTTTATAAGTAAATTTGTATAATTATAAATAGATAAAATTTTTATAAAATTAAGTATAAAAAAATAAAAAATTGTAAGATTTTATATTTAGTAAGAATATAAGATATTCATATATTTATCGGTATCTATGTTTGAGTGAATTAAATAATATTAGATAGAAATGAGATAATTTAAATAAATATAATGTATTTATATATATATGTATGTATTTATTTGAATTGAAAATATTTTTTAAAATTAAGATAGAAAGAATTTATGGGTATTAATTATAAATAATTAAATTGATTGTATGTTTATAATTTTTTATAATTAATAAAATTTTTTATTTATAAACATAAATCAATTAAGTTGAATCATGTTAAATTATTATATTTTATGTAATTAATTGATCATTTAATTTTATTTTTACTGACTTGATTGTTTAATTGATTAGAATTTTTTTGATCTAACAATATTTAATATAATGATTTAAATTTTAAAATTTTATATTTAAATTATAAATACATTAATTAATATGATATTTAAAGAATTATTTATTCTTAATATATCATCATCTAAAATTAATCATATTAAAAATAAATATAACATTAATTAATAAATTTATAATTTAAATATTATATTAAAATTTTTAAAATTTAAATATCAAATTAAATATTTCACCTAATTAACCCCATTTTATACAAACATCCCGAACCACGTCGGTCATTGTTCACAACTCAAAAAGGTCTTTCTCTATTTCCGTTTAGAGAACAAATATCAACAGATCAAATTAATTTAAAATGTAATGATTTACAGTCTTTTATTATTAGTTTGCATTCGAACTAATTTTTTTGTAGATGGTCTCTGATTAGCTGGGAGACTTGCAGGGCGAACAGACAATGAAATCAAGAGTGATTGGAACACAGTTCTATCAAAAAGAGCGCAAGTGAAAGAATTCGATCATACTAATAAAGATGGAAAGAAACGAAGAATCATCAGCTGGTCCAGGAAAGCCCAAACAAATTCAGGTGTTATCCATGGTAAGGCAGAACGTTGCAGCAAGGTCTTTATCACCCCACAATAGCTAATAATAAGTGGAAAAGATGACAACAATATTGTCCGTAGAGTTCAGTTTACTATGGATTTTGGCATTGGGGAAATCAGCTTTTCAGAAGCTCATGCTTCTGATGACTTTTCCACAGCTTAGTGATTTTGATTTTTGTGATATGAACAGTACTATGATTTATAAATATGGGTCAATCCATGTAACCAATCTATTAAAAGTATTATTTTTCCGTCTAAAGGTCGTTATAGATTTTTTACTTATTAGTGTTAAGTCAACATTTTGACTGAGCCAAGTCAATATAAATTTACGAGTTCATGTCAATTCGATCAACTTACATTTTACATACTAGATTTGTTGACTTGTTATGCTTGAATGAACAGTTAATTATCAGCTCAAGTCACCATTTTGTCTTTTAGAGCTGATTTCGGACAATTTAAGCTATCTAAAACCTTACATTTTTTAGATATAAATAGCACAACCTAAATACTCTTTAACTATCTTCTTTTTTTTTTTAGACTTCTCATTGACATAAATGTTAAGCTCATATCAATTTTTGTTATTAGTCATTCTTTTTTTTTTCTTATAATTTCGAAATTTTACCTCTCAGAGACAGCTCGATACAAACACAATCCATTGCAACAAAATTGACCCACGATTTGTATATACCAACTCTCTGTAATTTGTAGGAGCAAACAAACTAAATGGTAAACAATAAGAATGTTGAAACATAGAGGACGAGTTGATCATCAAAATGATGGTTTTGGGCCAAAATGTCAAATGAAAACGATATTGAATATTGATCCCATAAAAAAAATGGGGAACACAATTCAGAAGTAATCAATTTGAAAGAAGAAAGAGAAAATAAGACCATTGACCACATATTATAAAATTATCATCATGAGAGTGTTACCACAAAATCTGTAGCAAACTATTATTTTGTAGGAAAAACACCTCCTGGGCTCACAAAACCAGCAGAAGCTCAAAGTCTTGAAAGGAAAACTGCTGATTTGCTGATCCGACAATGTATCGGAATAATTTGAACAAGTTACAAAAAATTGGAGAAAGTGAAAGATGAAGGATCAAGTCCTAAGAAGAGAGAACCTTCTGAACCTCAGAGGTGACCTCTTTTGGGGGTTTCTCCGCAGGAAGATTAGCAAGAATACCTTTGCTACCATAATAATCAATAACCTGTATGTCAAACAATTGGAATTTGTTTATAAAGTCATCATGACAGAGGGAGATAAAAAAAATCCAAAATACAACCTTAGAAAAAGTACAGAAAACTTGAAATTGAATAAAGAGGGGCTAAAAGGCAATCTAAAATCGGTGGTTAAGCTCAAGTTTTGACTGTTTTATCACAAATATAACACGATAGAAGCACTAATTCTAGAATGCAGTTATTAAATCTCTATGAAAGGGCAAAAAAAAAAAAAAATCAGAGAGATACAGGAAAAGATCTGATCAGTTGGATAAAGTAAATAAAGACCATCTAAAACCAGAGACTTAAAAAAACATTAATAGTGCACAACCTCGCCTCTTGAAACAAATTTGCTGCAGATAAAACTCAAGGTGGAAGCTCCAATATTATAATGCAGTATGCAGGTAAATTATGAAAATAGAACTATACCTAGGGCAGGAATGCATGGACATACAAAAATGATGAGCCGTGGAAAAGGTAAAATTGCAATGACTAAAGAGTCAACAAATTCTATTATTATTCCACAAAGGAAAAGAGCATACCGGTTCAGTCTGCCTATGAAAAGTCTCCAGCCTTGACTTGAGAACTGCTGGGGTATCATCTTTTCTTTGTATCAAAGGCTCTCCAGTGACCTTCAGTGAACAGGAAGAACAAGGTGAGATAAAGGGTGCAAGAAACCAGAAGCTGTGACTCCGGTCGTAGATATATATCAAAAAGTCCAAACAAATATGGTGATCAAATTTGAATATTCAAGTTTTAAAGTGCAAAGATCTATGCCAATGATTCCTAGGTCCAGTAGGGTAAAGGAACAGGCAGAGGTCTTAGAAGTCCCAAATTCACATCCACAACCCCATTCTTAAAGAGTGTATCATCATATCTCAAAAAAACAACCATGGAATCTGCATATTCATCTTACACATGGGGTGAAAATTCTCAGAATTTTGTGACAAAATTATTTAAGATATTGATCCCAGAATCTTAACCCAGTATGAAAGCAATATTGATGGAGATAAATTGATTGCCTCAATCCTAATTAAATGAGACTTAAGCAAGAATTTTAATTGTATTCAAAAGAATGCATGTTATCTCCTTTTTTTTTTTCTTAATGAACTGAAAATTGTTTGCAAAGATGCAAAAGTACGAGGCACAGTGAGTTAAACATTTAGTTCAGGTATCTAAAGTAATAGGGCTTGCAGATTCAGTCGAGACGAATAATCATTTTATAATAGAAAAGATGAATCAAAAGGATATTAAAAATAAAAAATAAAAAACACATACATCATCAACACCAGGAACTTTGGGAGGGGCAAATTTAGTGTGGTAGGTTCGACCACTAGAAGGATGTATCCAACGGCCAGTGATCCTCTCCTCCAATATGGAATCATCAATTGCAAAATTCAACACCTTGTCAATCTTAGCTCCCTGGTTTTGAAGCATCTCATCAAGCTGTATCAAAGATAACAAACATGGTTAGAAATTGACAGAGTATCAAAGCCAGAACAAAATTCAAAAAAATATAAGAAAGAAAAGGTGCAAAAGTATATTATTATGTAACATAAAAAGAAAGACCACCTTCTGCGCCTGGACCACAGTCCTTGGAAAACCATCTAAAATAAAACCTTTTTGGCATGAGGGTTTTTTCATGGCTTCATCAATTATCCCAACCACCAAATCATCAGAGACAAGTTCCCCCTACACGAACAAAACAGATGTACTAATGTTACAATCTGCAATTAGACGAATAGACAACAAGTTCCGAGCCTGTAGGAATTAGACAATGAGGGAGAAAAGTATTTACTTTATCCATAGCTTCTTTGGCCTTAATTCCAAGAGGTGTTTTGGCAGCAACTGCAGCTCTGAGCATATCACCTGTGGCTAAATGGCACAAGCAGTAGTCATCCTTAATTATGGGCGATTGTGTACCCTTTCCAGATCCAGGGGGACCTGCAGTTCATTAAATTTGTTAGTTCCATCATCCAATATACCTCCCCTTCCAAAAAAAAAAAAAAAAGAGCAATTACGTTTGCATATCATTTGGCATTTTGGTTCAATAGAAATCTAATTGTGGCTTGAGGTTACATCATACAAATTGAACACAAAAGAAACACAGACCAAGGGTTTGAACTTTGAACTGCTGTAACTAAATCCATATTCAAGACCAACAAGAAAAGGGTCCAACAATCATAAATGGAAACACAAAGCAAAATCAGCTAAATATTCCTACCACTAAAAATTAAACCTTCAGAACACTAAGAACAAAACTTTCTCCACAAAAAAATAATTAAACCCAAGAGACGAACCAATAAGAATGAGGCGTTTGTCAGGCTTGGAGGAGCACTTGAAACGACGAAGCAGTTCAGTCATGATATCAACGGAAGGAACATCCTCCAAAGCGACTGCAGAACTCGCCATTTCTTTCTTGAAAAGAAAATTGTTATTAAAGTAAGAAAACCAAAACCAAAACCCAAACAGAAATAGTCTATGCAGAGAGATTTTATATGAAGAGGAGGGTAGGTGGAACCGTGGAAGGTGTTGTGTGTACCTTCAAATTTTGGTGAGAAACGTTAGACGGTAAGACCATTTTTTTTGGTAGGTTGGGAAGTTTGGGTTGGCATTGCCTTGTTGGGGCGTTGGATCACTCGGTTTCTCCCTCCCATTTCCCACTATTTTTGTTTTCTTATGCTTTGTCCTCCTAGCGTGCTTGCCTTGGAATTACCGCTGTTGCCCTCTACCGAATTCTTTTGCCCCGGCCCTGCCCGATTTGTTTGGGGACTTTGGGGTGCATTTTTGACATTTTCTGTTCATTTTTTAAATTGAGAAAGTTTGAATTCAGCAGCAGGCCGTTTAGCAGTCAACCTCATGAAATACTAAAAATTTTAATACTTCCAATCAGTAAAACTAGTATTATTATAAAAAATAAAAACAATATAATTAACAGTAAAATAGTAACATTTTGTCACGACAAACTTACAGAAGAGAGAGTCAACTCCTTCATAAATAGATATTTGCGGATATAAATATAGATAATAATTTACGTATTTATACATATTTATTTCATTTATAATATAATTTTTATTAAAATTTTAAATAATGTTATTTTTATATTTTTATTAATATTATATTATCATATTTAATATAAAATTATTAATACTCTCAAATTTGATAATAAGTCAAAGAGATCTAGAACACATAATATTTTTAGGGTAATGTACAAGTAATTTTGTTTTTTGATATCACAAAGAGAAAGAGTGGAGATTTTTATAATATTTTATGTAATTTAAAAATTATAATTATAATAAAATAATATTTAATATATATCAAGAAGAATAAACTAATAAACAAGTCAAATCAATAACTTATAAATTAATATATAATTGAAAAAAATATTAATTATGATAAAATTTGAACTTGAAATTTAAAAATTTAAAATATATTTTTTAATTTCGTTAATACAAAGATGAGATTTAAAATTCAAAATTTCTCTTTAAAAAATTTTGGTTCAAATTTTGAAATTTTCCTCTTGATTTATGCCATTGAGACTTCATTTTATGATCAATACGAAAAGATTTTTACCGCAAAAATTCAGACTTAAAAGTTCATTGTCACTGAACATCTAAATGAATCATAGTTATAATAACGTAACTTCTATCAAAAACAATTTTATGTAAGGACTAATCAATGGGTCAGAACTTTGCAGACTGAAACTACGAGCCCGATCCATCAGCACGACCCATTAATGCAACAGTAGACGTGGCCAATTAATCATAGCCGTTGATGATTGGTGGCTCAAACAGCATCCACGCTATCTCCATTTGTAGTTACCGTAGCCAACTATTCCCCATCCTCGGAGTCCTTTAAGCTTTCCTCCGCCGTTGTTTCTGAATTTTGTAGTCGAGCTGAATCGCGAAGCATCGAGGCTCATCTGCGACATTTCACGCTATGGTACGCCCCATTTCCAACCTCTCTATCCTTATTATTTCTTTCGCCTTGCTATTTATTATTATTTTTTTAAGTTTTTCACTGACTTAGGATTTCTCTTCGATTCATAAGACTGTTTGATCGTGAAATTTTGTTTCGCGTTTAGTTCTAGATCCAATCTATTGATTTTTTCACTCCGTTGTTTTCCGTTTGGATGCGATGAAGCTAAAGGATAATGAGGGCACAGAAAAGAAAATTTTAGTTTTGATGGATCATATTGCTTTGATTCTAATTGCGAGAAGCTAAGCTTAGTGAAGCTGGATTGTTCTTTTAGGGTCATGAAATTATTTTTAGGGAATGCTAGATTTTAAAATGTTATCGTTCATTTGAAATAACCTCAGTGAAGGCACTTTAGGCAATTATTGACGAATCAAGAATTTTGTCGATTGCTTCAAAATTGGATGTGGCTGATATTTTGGCATCAAGGAAGTAATTTCTTCATTTTATTCTCAGCAAGATGGTTTACTTAAATTCAGATAGAAGTGGACTTAAGCTTTGATGGACTGACAAATTAGTAAAATCAAATTTGGTGGTCTTTTTTTTTTTTTTTTTTCATTTATTTTGGTTGCCACTGGCTGCAGTGAGAGTATTATTGCTACTCATTTTATTTGTTATTAGTTATCACTAAATAGGCATCCTATTGTCTTTTCAGTGTTCTGCTAGGACTGTTTTTATAGCCTTTTCTGAGGTCAGTTGCATCATGCAAACATGATTGTTGCTTCAGCTTTGCTATTGTTTTCTTCTCGAGTGTTTTTGAGTTATTTTTAGATTTATTTCTGATAATTAGATCATTTCATGGAAGCTTGGGGAAAAATATTTAATGAAAAAGAACAAAGAGGTTACTAATAAGTGTTCTTTCTTTGCACAGGCACCCACAAAGGGCATTCTTCCCTTGCAAAGGGCAGCTTTGTTCAAGTATAGCAGTGAGAGGTGGAGTCTAGGCATTAGGTCATTTAGCACTCAAGGTGCAACAACTGCTGGTGCTCCACAGCCTCCCCCTCCTCCACCACCAGAGAAAACCCATTTTGGTGGTCTAAAAGATGAAGACCGGATTTTCACCAACTTATATGGGTTGCATGACCCTTTTCTCAAAGGTGCCATGAAACGTGGTGACTGGTATAGGACAAAGGATTTAGTACTCAAGGGTGCTGATTGGATTGTCAATGAAATGAAGAAGTCTGGACTTCGAGGACGTGGTGGTGCTGGATTTCCATCCGGCCTCAAATGGTCTTTCATGCCAAAAGTATCTGATGGCCGTCCTTCTTATCTTGTTGTAAATGCTGATGAAAGCGAACCTGGAACATGTAAAGACAGGGAAATCATGCGGCATGATCCACACAAACTATTGGAGGGTTGCTTGATTGCTGGGGTTGGGATGAGAGCTACAGCTGCTTATATCTACATAAGGGGTGAATATGTGAATGAACGTAAAAACCTTGAAAGAGCTAGAAAAGAAGCTTATGAGGCTGGACTTTTGGGCAAAAATGCATGTGGTTCTGGTTATGATTTTGATGTTCACATCCATTATGGTGCTGGTGCTTATATTTGTGGTGAAGAAACAGCACTTTTGGAGAGCCTTGAAGGTAAACAGGGGAAACCCAGATTGAAGCCTCCTTTCCCTGCTAATGCAGGATTGTATGGCTGTCCCACCACTGTCACAAATGTGGAAACAGTGGCTGTTTCTCCTACAATATTAAGACGTGGTCCAGAGTGGTTTGCCAGTTTTGGGAGGAAGAATAACTCTGGGACAAAACTGTTTTGTGTTTCAGGTCATGTAAACAAGCCTTGCACAATTGAGGAGGAGATGAGTATACCACTTAAGGAGTTGGTAGAGAGGCACTGTGGAGGTGTGAGAGGTGGATGGAACAATTTACTTGCAGTAATACCAGGAGGTTCATCCGTTCCACTTTTACCCAAGCACATATGCGATGATGTCCTGATGGATTATGATGCACTCAAGGCTGTCCAGTCAGGACTGGGAACTGCCGCTGTAATTGTGATGGATAAATCAACTGATGTTGTAGATGCAATAGCAAGGCTTTCTTACTTCTACAAGCACGAGAGTTGTGGACAGTGCACACCCTGCAGGGAAGGGACTGGGTGGCTATGGATGATCATGGAAAGATTGAAAGTTGGGAATGCAAAGTTGGAAGAGATTGACATGCTTCAGGAGGTAACCAAGCAGATTGAAGGGCACACAATCTGCGCTTTGGGTGATGCAGCAGCTTGGCCTGTGCAAGGTCTTATACGGCATTTTAGGCCAGAGCTGGAGAGGAGGATTAGAGAGCGAGCAGAAAGGGAGTTGCTGGCAGCTTCTGCTTAATTTCTGCTCGGGTTGCTTCTGGCACCTTTCTAGCTTTCAATTTGTGCCATTTTTCTTCCAAAATATGAAGTACTCTTGTGTGATTCGGCATTTATAGTTATCAATTTCCATTTTGTTATGTGAAAATATTCGCCTTCTGTGAAATTACGTAATCTGTTGTCCATCGTTTTGGTCTGTCATGCACAATATGCATACTTGCACCACACGCTAAATACAGGTACACATGAATGATTTCATGGAAAGGGGGAAAATGGTCTGTATTTGTAAAATGTGTGCAGATGAATAATAGAGATTTAACTTATTTCTTCTGATGTCCTTAAGGAATTTATTTGTTTTTCCCTTCACATCATCTTTTACTCTACCGTAGCACTAGTTGCCTTCTTTTGTGATCCCTAAAAAATATTTAATTACATTTTTGGTACCTGAACTTTGAGAAAATATACAAAACCTAAGGAATTAAAATGTAAAGTTTCACCTTGGACTTTTAAATTATGTAACATTTTAATCCAAATTCTAATATTGTTAACTCATCTATATAGTATCATTTTATTTGTTAAATAAAAATGTTAATTTAAAAAAAAAAATCATGCGGATGTTATATGACAAACAATAATTGACCGATTCTAGACAAATTTTACATTCAAGTAAAAATATATATTTTTATTTATATTGAAAAAAATTATAATAGTATGTGTGGTGAACACATAGCTTAATAATATTTGTCAAATGCTACATATATAAGCTGATATGGTTCCAGGATTAGAGTTTGGGTTAACTTGATACATAATTTGAAAGTTTGGAGTGCAAATTGTACATTTTAATTCTCTAGGTACCAATTTTTATATTTTATCAAAGTTCAAATACCAAAAGTATAAATAATTCCCCTAAAAAAAATGTCAAAAGAACTGTGTGTGTGTCTTTATTCTTTTTGGTAGTTAGTTTCTGGTTTCTATGGTCACTGGACCATGATTTTGTGAAATGAATGCTAAAGAAATGAGTTAAAAGAATGCTAAAGGAAGGAGACATGTGATACCCAAATCAGTTTAGTTTTTTTCAAGGGGAAAATGCCATATAGAACACAAGTTTAATGAGGCAGTGCATCCTTAGTCTTACATCACATGCATGACATGCAGTTCCCTATTTTTAGGACATGGACATGAGTAGGATAGCAAATGCATTAACATTTTTCTTACCCTTCGCATATTCTTACTGCCATATCGATCACTTCCACAGCAACCATGCGGTTATCATCTAAAGATTTTTGAGGGCTTGTCTCATGCCATGTAGGTAATTTCCTGTGCTAGTGGCTATTCTGGAATAAAATTGAAGTACCCAAAACTTGGAGGATAGGTGACTCAGTCATCTGGGGGTCTGTTACTGTTTTGTTTGCTTTCTCCTAAGCTGTACTTACCAAATTTTACTGTTTGAGAAAATAATGAATGTCTCTAATGTCTGGGTGGGGATGCTTGTTTCTCATAGCTTCCACAACATTTTTTAAAATTATTTTTGGTCTATTTGAGGAACATTGTTAATAATATCTGTATACTTTCTTTTTTTTTTGAACTTATAATGATATCTGTATTTTGCTATGTCATTTATCTGGTAACTGGCAAAAGGATAAAAAATGTTACCAGAGAATTGAAATAGAAATTGTACAATGCAGATATTGGAATGAGATGATCATGAAACTGACATGAATAGAATAAAAATATGCAGCTGCGGAAGAGCTTGAGTGGGTGTGTCAGGCCAAAGACTAGACCAGAAATAGTGAGCTCAACCTGCTTGAGGAGATCTGGATCTTCATCCTAAAAAGCTTGAGCTTGCTCGTTAACGAGCATGGTCCAATTCTTAATCCCAGTTTCTCAGATCCAGCTACAGGTTTGCTGATTAGACCATGAATGTCAGTTCCGACCGCCTACATGGTAGTCGTTATAATGGCTAGAACATGTGAATTTTCAACCCTTCTCAGCCCATGGGAGGCTTTGGTGAGGCACGGTGTCACTAGTCTTGATGTACCTAAATATTAAAGAAATGATTAATCCCGCGATTGGCTAGGAAGCCACCCAAATATTTTATGAACTAAACTGTGAAAATGGGTGATGTTGTCAAGTTTTCCATCAACATGATGCAGCATCTTTCACCAAAAATTTCCTTTTTGCCAACCTGATGCGAACGTCTCGACCTTCCTCCCCTTTACTTTTACCAAAATTTTCATTTTGATTCAGAAGAGTAGGATTGGTTTATTGTATTTGGAAGGCGGCTTCTTCTTAGCAGAAAATACCCCAAGTGATTTGAGGATAAGTGAGTAATTCTTTATCAGAAACAGTAGAAGCCTGAATGGGATGAAATTAAACAAAAAAAAAAGTCAAAAAAAAAGAAGTGAAAGCAAAGAAACAAGAGGAGATTAATTAGCAGTGAAGTTATTGGGTGGTCAAATTTAGAGAGCGAGTAATTTTGCTAGTTGTGGCTTTGATTTCACATCAACCATGCTGTAAAAGTTATCAAGTTATAGTCTTCTTATTCATCTCAATTGAATGTTCATGTCCAAAAGATGTATTTTTGTCGAAAAAAAAATCGGATAAGAAAATGAATTACAAATCTAAAATTTAAATTTTAAATTTATTAAATATCATTTTTAATTATAACAATATAAACCATCATTATCTAGATTTCGGGTTTCTCTTTCTTTTACTTGATAATGAATGTTCTTATATTTATTGTTTGTAAAACTTTTTATGATTGACTATAATTTGTAAGGTTGTGTAGGTAAAATTGTGATTAGACAGATAAAGTAAATAACCAATGAAGATTAGATAAAGATGAATATCTAGTTATTTGTAAGGTCAAGGACAATTGATCTGAAAAATATTATCAAATTTACATAAGATTTCACGTAAAATTTGTTTCGAATTCATGAATGAATGATTTATTCTTAATTACATTCACAAAGACGTTACAGTACAAAATTCCTAGCATTTACCAGTTTTACAGTGCCAATGTTCCCCAGTCATCTTTTCTTCCACCTGCCAAATCCAGGAGGAGACTACTATTAGTGTTAAACACTTGCAAAGCTAAAATGATTAGAAAACACAGAGGACAATCATATAGCTATCAATGAACATGCCACAGCTTCTAGCAGCAGCATACAGACGAGAAATGGAGGACAATTCAAGTATATAAAGGCAGAAGACATTATCACTGGATTAGATTATTGGTGCCAGGAGACCTACTTCTAATTTTAATGATCAGAGTGTAATCTTTATTAACTGAAAGTAATTATTCGAGAAGAGGTAAAAAACCAGTAAGGATGTAGCCAATTACGTTTCATGCCACTTGCAATGAACACATAAACAGGTGAAGCAAGATATCTTACGGTTTAGAAGAGGCACTGCTTACTGGACTCCTCAATACATCATAGTGTCCATGACCATCATACAGGACTCGGATAGGATGTTCCTTGCGATACTCTTGACCATACTCGGATATAATTTTGAGGCTACCAGAATTCTTCTCCCTCATGTAAACTGTTATAGGGGCCCTGTGGAAGAAATGTATACATTGACAGATTAGAAAGTTTTGACATATTCAATAATTACATAGTAATTCCTTGAATTAAATTTAGTTATAATCCTATTCATCTGGTCGTCTCGCAAAAACAAAAACAATAAATCATTAGATTTTAAAATTCAGTTTCCTGAAAATAAGAAAGAGATTACAGGTACAGAGATTTGAATCTCAGACTTGTTAGATCTCACCTCTTAAAAATGACGATATAAACCGACTGAGCTATGACATAATCAACTATTAAACCTATTTGCAGTTGTGGCCTAAAAAAAGCAAAACTATTGATTATAAATCAAAATCCAATTTCTGAATAAAACACAATATCTTCTATTTATTGAAAGGGCAAGTCTAATAAAAGGAAACCCTATACCAAGTGGTAATGAAGAATTGAATATATCTTCTACTATATATACATATATGACTGCATGAGAACAAACACAAGCACACCGTCAGAAAGAAGTTTGAAGCAGAAAGCTACAAGAAAAGAAAACTCACTGTAGGACATGTGAGCACATGAGCAGCTCCGGTTCTCCTCCCCAACTATGAGGCTGCCGCATCTGCACAACATAGTTGTCAAAATCACCCTCAAGGAACCTGCGAAAGGTACGAAGATGGATTAAATAGCTTGGAGCCTTGCAGAATGGAAGCATAGATTCTACTCTAGATTTTTGACAATTTTATGCCAACAATGTCAAGTGTTACTTTCGATTTAAGTAAAAAAACAGACTTCATTAATGATTAAAACTATTTTTTGACAAAAAAACTGATCATCATATCCCAAAATCGTACCAAAAAAAACCTTACCATTCAGTGTCTGCCCGCCTCTTGATGAATTCATCTGCAACCTGTCAAAACATGTGATCTTTAATTGTAAGAGAAAAAATCAAAATAAAAGAAAATGACAGGAAAAATTTTTTAAAGAAAGAACAGGAAAGGAAGCTGCACTTTGTTGAATGAGTGCCAAAAAGAATTAAAGCAAGAAAGGCTTTGCAACTAACACAAAATGAAAATGGATAGCACAAAAAACATATTCTGGCAAATGGTCCAAAGTCATATCGAAACCAGTAGCAGGTACAGGTAAAACCAAATGATGCTTGACGTAAAAGAACAAATGAGCAACTTGTGAAAAGTAGGAAACAGATGGATAAGAGAATATAAATATACTCTAGCTCTGAGCTCATCTGCAAGTTCTTTCTGCCGGCTTTCATTTGGAGACTGCTTCCCCCCTGACCTCAGCAAAGCACCATGAACTACAGAGCGAAACAAACATCTTCCATCACCAGGAATGCCTGCATTAAACAAGCTTATGAAATTAATTACATTCATGGTGCCAAAATAAAGAGATTTTATGCATACGGTCCGACTTTGACGAATTTGGTGCGTATTGAAATAGAAAGAACATATATTTCTGTCGATCATCTAATGTTTTGCATCACAACCAATCTACAAAACATCATCAAGAAGTTGACCAAAATGAAGAAAAATATTGAATTCTAGCATCCCAGAATTCCCTATAAACTAAAATGCTTATCAATGAATTACATGAATGCAATAGTCAATTTTTCTGTTCAAACATCCAAAAAAAAAACCCTTCGGCTTATTCCAAAATAATTGCAACAACCTCACAGCTTCAAAAGGTAAGGAAAAGGCAAGAGAAATGAAAACCCATTCTCAAACAAATTCACCAAGCAAAGTATCCAAAAAAATTTCCTTTTTTTTTCTTTTAAAACCCAAAAACCATGAAGTTGCAGTTTCAATTTACAAGCAAAAGGTTTAGAGAAACACTAAATCGAAATTAAGGTGAAATGTTACGGATCCAAATCTCCTGTTTAGACATTCTTCTCTTCTCTTTTTTTTAATCATTAGAAAGGAAACTCTAAAAATCAATCCATTTATGGACACACACTTAAGTGTTTTTTGGGTGATTTTATGCAGTAAAAAAAAAAAAACTTTACCGATGAATAAAATTTGAGACACAGCTTGAAAATGATAAGAGCAGATTTGACAGAATATTTTTCAAGTTTGTGGTTCCATTGCCAATATTAGAGAATCCAATTCTCTTACAAGTGCTTCTAACCGTTGACTGTTATTCCCGCTAAAATTTATAACTACCATTCGTTCCTGCGACTTCAGCGTGCAGATAAACCAAAAAAAGAATCAGCAGTCATCAATTATTGTTGGTTTTTTTTATTATTATTATGAGATATTCCATTTTTTATATATATAAATTGGTGAATTGGTTTGTTTTGGGGTTTCTGTTTGATCCTTGTAAAAGGTGAAATCCTTTCTTTTACTACTAAAAATCAATAATTCTTCCAGGAGAGGAAGCTTTTTGTTGATTGTCATACTTTTGCAATATCTGGCTTGATAATGGTATGATATTTCTTGATTCAAATTGGGGTTTATGTAGTTTTATAGTTTCAACATAAAATTACACAAAATTCAGAAACTTCGAAATTGTTCTATCTAATATGAGATTGATATATTATTTTTCAAGCTTAATTGACTATGATTCATGCATCCGTTTTAAACGGTGGTGTTTAGTATGTTTGGATTTAAATTTAACTCCAACAACTTCTTTTCTAATCGTCAAATTGCAGCCTCCCTTGTAAGTAAAATAAAAATGTATAAGCATCACTTATAAACATTCTTTTGAAAATTTCTGGTATTAATTGATACGATAAGAAATTATAAAGAAATTTTTTTGTTTGTTTAAGCTTTTGATGATTCTCTAGTTGAATTCTAGAAAGATTGCATTTTAATTACAACGAAAACGGTAATCAGGAAAAACGAAGAAACAATAAACATTCCTAGTTCTCCATGCAAGCCAGTAAAAAATTTTCATTATGTGCTATATTAGCTATGTTTTTATATAAACTAATCTAACCAGGCCTCTTTGCTCGGATATTGATCTGATCAGGATTCTACAGCAACCACTAGAATGAATTCGAGACGACGTCCATTGCAAACCTGTGGAGTGTCGGCCTTCGCTATCGCTCACAAAGCTTGCATAAGGGCTCAAGACTTGAATGAAAAAGCTTGCATAAGAGCTCAAGACTTGAACGAACCAATAGGATCAATGGAAAAAAGAACTGTCACATTAGGCTCACTGGTTTCCTCTCTTGTTTTTGCCCTACAACATATCTGGTTAGCTATCTTTTTTCATGTTGATGATTGTATCTTAGCCCTCGAAAATGTTGTTGAGAGCGTTTTTCCACCATCAAGACATGTTTTCAACGGGGTTGATCAGCTTGCCCAAATCATAGAAACTCTGCCCGGAAAATTAGATGATGTTTTGGATAAATTTCCAGTGATGATCGATCAAGTTCCATTGCTGGATTGGGCATTAGGCCAGGCCATATCTTGGCTGAAGGTTTTAACATCTATATTAACTCACTGGGGCACAGGAAACACAGAGGAAAAAGAGATTGTTGTTGACACAGGCTACAATGAAAGCAATGGTGCATCGACAGCAGCAACTGATCATGAAGCAAAGAGCCCTGTAGAATCCCCAAGTCGAGTTGGCCTTAACAATAGGGAAGCATTTCCGCCTGTATCTGAAAAACCAAAAATTAAAGCAGAAATGGTTGGTGAGAGTAAGATAGCTAAGCCAAGTGCTGCAAAAGGAACGTACAAAGAAGTATTAGAGAGGGGAAAAACAGAAAATATAAAAAAGAAAGAAGCAAAAAGGGATGCATAGAAGGATGAGAATCCAGACGGTACTGATGTTGTGAAGATAGAAGCTGAGGACGAAAACATGCACCGAAAAATGATAATGATTCCATCTTAGAGTTGTTTGATTCTGGATGGCTTATGAAAAGTCCGGTAAATAACGCCATTGAAAGCTCACTACCGCGTTCTGTTTCATATACATGAGTACCTGCAATTGAGGGAACAATAAAGAATTCGGTTTGTTGTCATCCTCAATATTAATTATACTTGCAATGTTATGTACATTTCAGCAAAAATTTCATCCAATTGTCAGAATAGCCTGATTGCAACTGTTTTTCTATGCTATATAAACTTGTATACTAGCTGGAAACAGAAACTTTACGTACGTTCATTGTAAATTTAGGTTCTAAACTCAACGGAAATCTACAACATATGTAGCTTTGAGTGCTGTATCCTACCGTTTGCGTTACTAAATAGGAAGAAAACTGTACAGACATGAACCTGAAATGGGTAGAAACTGTATGATGATCACCTGTAAAAGAGAGTGGCTCAAGTACCAAGAATAAAAAAATGTCTGAAAGAGAGAAGCTGGAAACAGATTCCAATAACCTAATTTAGACTGTGGGAGATGGTTTGGCAAAATTATTCAGCTCTTGGCTCATAAAGAATGAATATATATATATATATATATATATATAACTTTAATTTTATTTAACAACCAAGATTTTAAATTAAGTAAATAAATTGCATGAATAAAATTTTAAAGTAAACAAATTGCAAGAACAAAAATCTTATGATAAATAGAAATAATAAATAAATCCTAGGATTATACCAGTTTCACCTTTTCAATCCTCTATGTTACTTTCTAATTATTAAACCAATTTGCTAATAACCAACATAATTGAAATTTAAATGAAGAATTAAAATGATAATAAAAAAATTGAAACGTTAATTTCGATTAAAGTAAAAAAAATTAAAATCAAATAATGAAGGAAAGAATAAAGAAACAATAACATAATAGAAAAAATCAAGTCGAAAAAAGGAATAATTGGAATTTGGAAGCATAGCAATCTGCATTTGAAATTAATTATCAATTCCCCTCCAAGTCCAAAGATGTTTTCTCTCAAAAGCATCACTCCAACGACATTAGTCCTGTCAACATGTACCATATTCATAGCATCAGCCATGCTGGTTCGAAGCGTGGTTAGCGAAGTTCAGGCCATAACCAGCCTGTTCATTCCAAAACAACTCCAAACAATATTACTGTCAAAACTTGGAGGCCTTTTGTTCAAATCCATTTCCCAAATGCCTCTCCTCATTGACGAATATGATGCGTACTCCATTAATGAGCTGTATGAAGCTCAAGGTTTCCAATGCTCCACGAGACAATGAGGTTTTGGTAACCATAAGCAAAGGTAAAATGTTTGCAAAAAGAGTAATTGAGATCAGTTTACACAATGAATGAATGGAAAAGGTACTAAGCCGTTTCTTGTCATATATAATGGAGAGATCAAAAGCATCAAAGAAGAAAAATGAGATGGTGGAACTTTTTTCACTTGGAAACTTTTGTGGAGACAACGGTGGAGCATGGGGATCAACCAGTCTCGACCATCCAGCAACTTTTGATAAATTGGCAAGGGATCCCACACTCAATAAAGAGTTAATAGAGGACTTGGACAGATTTGTTCGAAGAAGAGATTTCTACGAAAGGGTTGGAAAAGCATGGAAACATGGGTACTTGCTATATCGCCATCCAGGAACAGGTAAGTCAAGCTTGATTGCTGCTATGGCCAACTACCTAAAATTTAATGTCTATGACGTGGAACTTGCTAGTCTGCACACCAATTCAGAGCTTCGATGTTTGTTAGTTTCAACCAGAAATCGATCAATACTTGTGATTGAGGCTATTGATTGCAGCATTGAGCTCCATGATAGGCTAGCTGTGTCTGGGGGATATGGAGAATATGAGCAGGGTAACAACCAGGTGAGATTAATACAAGATTAAGTTGTTTCATTCATAACTAATGATTAATGTTTTTAGACACTTGATTAATCCACTTTCAAATTTTCATTCTATTACAAAAGTCATTGTTAAGAGGAATTCAAGATCATTAGTGGACAGGGTTTTGGAAAAACCATAAAAGCAATTTTAACAAGCAAAATTTTAACTATAGTCTGCGGTTAAGGGTTTGCAGAGTATTATGTAAAGATCTTACCATCACACAAGGTACATGTTCCTTCTGTTACTTGGATAGTTGGATGCCTTCTTACTGCTTGCTTCTTAAAGCTATCAAAAAATTAAATGAATCATTAAATTGACAAGAACTGCAATGGACATGATTTTTCATTACATAATAAAGCTGTACCAGTCCCATACATTACTAACCTGTTGTTGATTCTATCATCGTGACAGTTGACTTTATCAGGGTTTCTTAATTTCATTGATGGGATATGGTCAAGCTGTGGTGAAGAGAGGATAATAGTCTTTACAACCAATCACAGAGACAAGTTAGACCCTGCTTTGTTCAGGCCAGGCCGCATGGACATGCACATCCATATGTCCTACTGCACTCCTAGTCCTAGTGGATTCGGGATCCTTGCTTCCAACTATCTATGCGTCACTAGCCATAATTTGTTCACTGCAATTGATGAACTAATGATGGAAGCGGAGGTAACTCCAGCAAAGGTTGCAGAAGAGATAATGAAAAGTGAAGATGCTGATAGTGCCCTCGGAGGGCTCATTCAGCTCCTTCAGAACAAGAAATTCGGATCTAAAAAATTTGATTATTACTATGAAGCATAGACACGAACACGCAATACAAATACGATACTATACGGATATAATAATATAATTTTTAAAAGATGAAGACATAGATACAGTACGACATGACAATAAAAGAATTTTTATATAATTTTTTATAAATATTTAATGTAAATATAAATAAAATAAAATTGTATTTCATTAGAAAAATAATCCAAAATTCCAAAAGGTAAAAGGTGATTAAATGGGGGCGGTTGCATGTAAGCTCAAAGATATAAAAAAAGGTTGAAAATCATTGGAAAACCAAGACACCGCGTTTTGAAGACGTCTAAAACTTATTAAAAAAAAAACACTAAAAAACAAATCTTTTTCACAAACGTCAAAAACTCAAATCAAATTCAGAGGCAATTCTTTCTTCTCAAAGTCTCATTAAAAATTTAAAACCCATAACTTTGTTTCCTCCTTCAACCGCTCTCCATTTATTTTGTTGATTATATTTGTTGCAACCGAGACCAACACGTGGTCTAACCTTTACCTCATGACTCATTCCACATTCACCGTCGACCTTTGAGATCCACAACAGCTTTCAGTTCTTTAGCTGAGAGGAAAGAACACAGTGACACAGAAATACATCGTGCAATTGGTTTGCTTGACATGGTGGACAAATTGGTAAATTGCTAAAATGCACAAATAGCCGTGTCCGGATGTGTCACCCGCCGTGTCGGAGGCATGTTCCGACGTGTCCAATTTTTTTGTTTTTTTTATTTGGACCGACATCTCCGATACATGTCCGGCCGTGTCGGAAACGTGTCCGTATCGAACAAGTGTACACCAAGGCACACGGTGTGTCCGTGCTTCCCTCATTCTGAGGATGGAGAAGCAAATTTTGCAGAGGAAAATGAAAGCAATGAATGTGACAGGGAAGATGGAAAAAAGAGGAAGGCCAGCAGGGGGAGAGTTGCTGAAATTGATGCAAGTAATAAGATAAAAAAGAAGCCAAAATGAGACAAGAGTGACCATCAATGATTTTGCTTGGAAGAAGATGTTAGGGTTTTCTATAATTTTATCCACTCATAAATAGCACACAACCCTTCATTCACGTAAGTGTTGACTTGTTTATCACCCTTTGGTTTCCAATCAAGAATAGTGGCACTGAAGTCTGAAAGTTTTGATGATTCTAAGCAAATAAATTTTAAGCTTTCTTTTTAGCATTTGACTCTTGCAAATTAGAAATAGATGATCCGACTATAGCTTTCTGCCCAGTTTCTTCCAAATGCAAGTTTGGCTGTTGATGCTAAAGCTACCAGTCCCATCTTGGGCATTTGAATGATTGAATCCACAACCGTGCGCAAATTCGTTTATAGGACATGAAAAAAACCAACTAAAATTATGAAAGTTACATTAAACGCGTAAAGTCCAACTGATATTGGCCTGGAAAATAAGGGAACATATCCTCCTAAATCAGGAACTCCAAAAACTGAACCAAAGGTGTAGCTAAGAGACTGTTGAAGTTAATGGCTGAGCCTTGCTTCATAGTTTCTTTGTTGAATTTTTTACTTTCTTTCAACATAAGTTGGAGTGCGCAAAAGCTTTATACACTGTTGGTGGCAACAGATGCTCAGAATTCCAAGCATCACCACCAGAACTAAGACTGAACAAGTACGCTGTAATACTTGTATAGAATTACAAAACCAAGTCCATTCTTCTTATCAAAGTGCATTCAACTTTTGCACATAACATATGGTTCATCATGTTGAATTAACATGACTTCCTACTCATTATTCATCACACGTGAAAAGTAACGAAAACTACATTGCTTTGATGAAATTAAACTGAAACGGAGATGGCATTTTAGCGAAAAAAAAAAAAGTTGGCTGAAAAGAGAAAACAAACAAAACAAAATGGTGGAAATCGGTCAAAGGATCAAAATCCCCATATCAACGCCCACCGTGGGGCTCGAACCCACGACCACAAGGTTAAGAGCCTTGCGCTCTACCGACTGAGCTAGACGGGCCAGTTAAGTTTTCAGTCTAAAGATAATATAAAATCAAAAAAGTGGTAAATTTATTCCCCCCTACTCCTAACTACTTTTTTTTTTTTCTCTATTTTACAGATTAGTGATTAGTTATTTAGTTATAAAAGAAATGGTAATTTTCACAAACGAACCTGGGGGGCACCTAACCTGCATCGTCTGACAATTTACAGGATTCCATATTTGACACATAATGAGCTACCATCTGTAAATTGAATGTTAAATCTGTACCTACCTCGTAATCATTGGTGTTGGTAGTCCATAATATAAATATTCAAGTGGAGCAACTGCCTGCCAGGCTTTTTGAAGATGAATTTAACCCTCAATTATGGCATACGTGCTGATGGTACATGTATTCCTACCCACAAGTGGAGAAAACGCAAAAATCCATAGATTACAAAGGGCCTGTACATTTTTTGCTTCTCTATGATTTCCGAAAAGAAATAGATAAATACTGTCCATCGGAACAGGACATGAGAAATAGAGAAGAAGATACAAGGCAAATTTACAATAGCTTGCCACGCTTTAACACTGGTAAACAGAGTAGCTCTTGCTCTTCCACAGAAAGCTGAAGGCTTTTCCCATTTTTCTTCTTGATACCGATTTACAAAATGGCTTGGATTCTCGGGCTGGGACTGGAGCAGCCATGGGATCCTGACTGCTTTCTACTCTCTGGTGTATGCCTGTAGGCGGATGATCTTGTTGCCGCTGCTCCCGGAAGAGCATCAGAAGTTTTTGCGACTTCTCCCTCCCTCTTGTTGTCCCGTTTACTGAAATTGACACCAATGCAGGAATCACACCTTCTTGTAGGACCATTTGACTACATTTCTCATTTCCGTTACAAAGAAGTAGAAGGCATGAAACAGCTTGCTCTTGCTCAATCAATTCGCCAGCATCCAAAACTGATGCCAGACCACTTATGAGACCAGAAGCTGATACCATCTCAGCTTTTCCTGTTTGACTTGAAGCTAAATTTAGCAAAACTGCGATGGATTTCTCTGTCCAGGCGTGGTCACCCGAGACCACAAGCGACAGAAGGCCATTGACTATGCCAGCAGAAAGAAGGCTCGGAATATTGGAGTGCACGGTAGATAGGTTGTAAAGAGTGTGAAGGGCATCAAGCTTGCATTGAGGATCATTTTCAGCTCCAAGTAGCTGGACTAAAAATGGGACAGCCTTACTTGAGCCTATGATAGACTTGGCTTGCTCAAGGCAAGAAAGATTAAGATAGAGAGCAGTTGCCGATTGATGGGCATTGGAGTTGGAAAGCATACCCTCCAGCAATAGAATCACTCCAGCTGCTAACATCAATTCCTTGTTCCTGATTTTTTTATTTAAAAAAGAGAGAGAGAGGAGAAAGAAGACTAAATAAGGTTGTTCAGCTTAATAATTACATATATAATGTCAATCAATCATAAGGAAAAACAGTGTTAAAATGAAAGATATGACAACGTTCTTTCCCCCTCCTTTTCATTTTTTGCTGTACCCTTTAATGAATCAAAGAGTAGCAGCAAATTGCCAAAGGCTAAGATAAAAAGATAACTTGTATCGCTTACAAATATTCATGTCTGGATTTAACAACACAAAAACCATAAAACATTAGTAACAAACCTGTTATTGTTGACAGCAAGGTTAAAGAGAGCCATTGCCCCAATTTCCTGAGCCATTGCATTCCCTTCATGCACAGCAGACTCTAGAAATTGCAATAATCCTTCAACAAAGCCATTAGCCCCCATAAAAATCCTGGCTTCCTCATCATCTTTCAGCAAAAGCCTTATTTGTTCCACAACTTTGCACCTTTTACTTGAGTTCTCTTCTTCATTCAAGACTGATAGGAAATCCCGATATCTTTCTAGCACATTAAGCTCAGAAACTTCCTCCTGTGGACATGGAGATTGATTTTCAGCCTCATCTCCTTCCACTTCCTCAATGGTACCACTCTCCTCTAAAGGAACCACCTTAGCCCCCTTTAAGTTGCATGAACTGACACTATCCATTGATTTTGAATTTGCAGTTTCAGACTCAGACAAGGCCAGTCTCCAGTAGTTAAGATCAAGAGACTCTGGGGGACCATCGGGAATAGGAACTCCATTCTGTTCACACCAACTAGCAATGAGACCCTTAACACAGTAATTAGGAGTCAAACAGAGATGTGGAAGCTTCTGTTGAGTCTTTGGGCAGGTGTCATGCCCATCACTAAACCATTTCTCAATGCAGATCCTTTCATATGTCTGTCCAGAGGCAATTATAACTGGATCATACATAAGCTGCAATGATATTGGACATCGTAATTCTTCAGGTGGAAGGGCTATCTGCCCAAATCTCCTAATATTTGGCTTGAAATTGAAAGAACTGAGCTTTGATAGCTGCCGCTCAAATGCTTGGCCATTACTACCAGCCCCTCCATCCTCAAGAGAGCCCAGAACAGTGGGGGAACAAGGTGTTGAACCCTGCGAGTCATTGTCATCTGAAACCTCACTTCGAAATAACTTGGAGTATTTTCTCATGAGATGTAAAAGATAAGCCACAATAGATTCCTTCCTCTTGTCCTCCTCTGCACGAGCTCTTTCTATCAGCTTCTTGAGAGCCCTTCTTTCACTTAGGGCTGCTCTAGAAGAAGTGATACCAAGTCTAGAAGCAGCCTGGTGAAAGGACCCAAGCTCATTGTTGTCATTACAATCATCAAATTTTCTCCCATGCTGGAGTAGTGTAATTATTTCATCACCAACTTGCTTCTCAGATGGATCAAGTGTGAAAACAGTCCCCTCAAGTTCACTTACAATCTCTAAAATCTGAGGCCAATCAAGTAATCAAGAATACTGTGAGTATACAGACAAAGTAACAGCTACTACAGGGTTTCACATTGGAAGGATCGTAATGCAGGTAACTCCAACATAACCTTGACATGACATATTTCCTAAAAAAAAATTTGAAAATCTTCTTGATTTGAACCAAAAGCATTAGGAGTTATAAAGATTCACTGAGATGATGTAGATAAAACACTAGCAGCAGATAAACAAGAAATGAAACTGCTTGCAAAAAAAAAAAACCTTATTTATTTAAACAGCCAAAAATTTAAGTACTCTTTTCAATCTCAAACCAGGAAGGGGGGAATCATTACCTGACATCCAATGGACTGTGGAACTATATCTTCTACACGCCTAAGACTATCAATAAGAGCATATTTTCCCTTCTCAAATTTTAAAAGAACAGAATCTCCAGTAATTGCCTACATGAGAAGAAAAATACCATTACTAAACATCTCTAAGAGAGAAAAAAAAAACATGGTGGAAAACAACTACAACATTGAAAAATCATTCAGTGAATGTAACAAACAAAAGAATGTATCAAACAGAAGTAAAAGCCACTACTCTAGGAATACACACCGAGTATAAATACAATTATGCACACATATATCCTCAGTGCGTCTGTCTGAGTGCACAAAAGAAACCCTTACCAAGTAAAGTTTACTACATGTTGAACAATGTTCGAGAACAATTTTGGCCTTCTCTAGAGCTATATGCAATGAGCATAAAGCCTGAATGCCAGATTTGCTCCGAGGCCTTGCTGCTTCCAAAGAAGGGAATATCGACAAGACTTTGCAATAAATTGCTGAAAGTGTCTTGCACATTTCTCCATGTAACTGCATAAAAAAAAATTCAGAAAAGAAGTAAGAAAACTATGAACATTAAACACTTTTTTGTCTTCTTTGTTCTAAAATAAAAAATGCAGCAAGATTCAACCATTACAGCTGCCCAAAAACAAAAGGCCTTTGATTTTAAGAAAAACAGTTAAAATATTATAAACTTAAAGATGGATTGATGCCAACAAAAGGATTACGCAACAAGTACATTCACCAAATAAAAAACTAACTAGCAGGAATATCCCCATTTTGATGAAGTTAATTAGAATTTTTTTAAAAAATAAAAGCAAATGTAGATAATGCCAGTCCAATACTTTAATTCTAACACATCCACATGCTACCAAATTCATACCTTGGCATCACTAGCTGCAAATAGGTTCTCTTCAACCTCAGAAATATCCATAATTTAGCATTCACTGCAGGAAACCACTAAAATGCCAATCTACATCAACTGAAATGCAAGAGTAAATGGAACAAAGTCAGATAGGTTATAAACTAACCGCTTAAAAAATATTTTAAAACACAACACAAAGTTCAAATTACATGGATAACACTAAAGTTTTATTCCCTTAACATAACAATCTTGAAAACCCTTTTTCTTTCTCTTCGACACAAAAATTTGTTACCAACCAGGCATCACGAATACCAATAAAAAATTTCTCAACCCCTCTGTGGTTGAATTGCAAATCAAGCTTTATGTTCTTCAATTTTCTTAAAAAGATGCACCACGACAAAGCAAATGACTTATTAGTCTCAGTTCCATAGTTCCTTCTTTATACAAACAATATAAGTAATATTCAGAAAAAAGTCACAGTTCTCAAACATTTCCTCTTCCATATGCGTCGTATGAAAAATAAAGATCACAGACGTGAAATGAGTAAGGAAAAGACTTCCATATAAAAGAAATATTCCAGGCAATTTGAGAATTCTTGAATAAGCTATTGATCTGACCATCATTGCGAATTCAAAATAATGAAAAACAAAATTCTATATGGAAGACAAATGGAATTGCAGATTTTTTTATTTTGATTTTGATTTGATTTAGACATTTCACCGAACATCTGAAGGCCGAACGAGGAAAGAAGATTTCCTATAAGAAATAAAAAAAACATATGATTGGATTTAAACAATTTGATTTAGACATCTCATCAAATAAAAAAAACCTGAAAATTCAACATTCTCAACAGAAGAAAAGAAACAGTTAAATCAAAATAGTATTGTTAAAGGGGAAAAAAAAAAGAAAGAAAGAATCTGAGATTGTTTGGAAGATGACCTTGTGAAAGCCCAGGGATCTTAACCGATACAAGACACTAAAATCACCATCAACATTCCAAAAACAGGGCAAAACCAGAAACCCACAAACATAGTAACAAATAAAAGACTAAGCCAAGTAAAACAAACCAACCAATAACAAAAAAAAAACGCGAATTTTCCTACGGAGATTGCGAAAAAACAGAAATAACTGACACCACCAAACACAAACACGAAATTGCTAAAACAAAATTTAAAAAAAAAAACCCTTCCTTTTTTAAAACTCCCGTAAGGCTAGAAAAAACTTTTTTTTTTAAGAAAATTGAAATGGAATTGAATCTGAGTCAGGGTTTGAAATAAAAAGAAAAAAAATACCGGGAAAAACGGAGGTAGTCAGGGAGGCCTCATATAAAAGAGCATTTAGAGAAAAAAATGAAGAGCCAAACAGGGAATTAGGATTCCGATGATCCCATCTCATTGTTCATTCAAAATTTCGCTGTCCGAAGTAGCGAATTTCTCGGAGTAAAGAGAAGAGAAGGAGAGAGACGAATGGGGTGTTTGATGATTGGAAGTGGTAGTAAATGAAAAGGAATTTTTGGCATTTTTTTTATTTTAAGCGGGATAAAAAAAAAAAAACAAGTGTGAGAGTGCAGAGTGAATTTATTTTGTAACGTTCAATAATTGTTTAATTAAGAAGAAATTAAAAAATCTTTTTTTGGAAATTTGCGAAGGGGTTTTGGGATTTCTTCGTTTCTCTCCCTGGTTCGGCGGCCGACAATGGCCGACCTCCTCGTTTGTCTGTTAGCAGATCTGTCATAAATGCTCTCAAATGACTTAATTGTCCTTTCAACATCGTCATAACAGGAAGAGATGAAATGTCGGTAAAAAGAGTTAATAAGTAACAGATCATTGGATTAAAAAAATATCCATGGTTATTACACATTTACGGTGATGGGAGTGGATTTTTTTATTTAATTTATTATTTTTAGAATATTTTCTTTAAAAAATTAATTTATTTTTTTCTCTTTCTAAATTAACACAATTGTAAATGGCTTTGAGAATTTCCTCTTTCACATAAAAGCGTTAAGGTATATAAATATCAATTATATAAAATTTTAGATTTGTTGAAATTATCATGTTTTAAGGAATGATATATATATGTTCTGTCTCTTTATAAAAAAAAATAAAAATTTTAGATAAAATTTATTTAATTATTTTATCTACTAAAATAAGAGATGAAATAGTAGGTTTGAATTTTTATTTTATATATTTTTTAAAAATTTTAATTATTAATTAAAAAGTTAAAGACTTGTTTATTATCTTAATTGACTTTGATTAAAGAAATATTATGCAATATTAATACTATTTTTTTATTATAATAAGCTTTAAGTGTTCCTATAAAAGAAACTTGAATGAAGGGTTCTTCTTTTTTATTATTCAATAAAGCTTTAACTAAAAAAATATTAGATTTTTTTATTATAATTGAAGTTCGAGGATTAAGTTAATTTTAAGTTTAAATTTAAAAATAGAATTTAGTTAGTAAAATTATTTAGATATGAAGCTGAAAATTATTTTTTATTTTTTTATAATCTTCTAATTAATTCAAAATCAATAAAAAAACTCTTTTATTAATTAATTCCAATCTTTGAGAACAAAACAATCATGCAAAGTAACAACTATCACTAAACAAAGATTGAGGGGTATTTTGGGGAAAAAGAAACTAACTTTGATATCATTAGCGGCAGAAATGTTTCCATGCAGGAGTACGGAGGCGGGAATCTCTTATTCTGTTTTGATTATAATAATGCATGGGCCCGCCCTCCCGCCAGTCCACGTGGATATTTATAACCACCAATTTTAACTGACCCCCCAAAAATTTATTTACCTACCACTCAGATCCGACATTCACGGAATTCACTGTTGTTCTTTCCTTTTTTTTGACCGCAGCCCCAATCAACGGTGAAAAACCGTCATCTCATTATTCACATCAAACAGAACCAAGTCTAAACTGACGCGCAATCCACACCACGTGCCGTGCAAATTGCCCATGGCCACGCTTTGAAACACAGGAGCGTGGCAGTCACGCCCTATTCTCGATGTAAAAATAGTACACTTCCTACAGTACTTGTCGGATGAGATGCACGTGTCAAATGTTTGGTGGATATTCCGTCGAATAAGACGGTCAGACCTGTGGCAGAAAACAGTTTCATTTCTATGCACGTGAATCCAAAAACTCTTCTCTGTCTCTTCGTTTGGTTGAAAATTGGAATTTTGGACCATCATCTTGTCGAATTTTAGTTCTTCGAAATGAAAAGTCTACAGATATTTTTGTCCGTCGCATCTCATTAGAAGTACGCTTTTAATCGATTTAATGATTCGTGCATTTATATTATATAAAATAGTAAAATTTATATATTAATATAAAAAAATAAAATATTTTTTATTTTATTAAATTTATATATAATAATTAATATAAAATTTTAAATTATATTATTTTCGTATTTTATTTTTGAATTATATTCGTATTATATTTTAAATTATTAAATTCAATTTTTAGTTACTTAAGTTTGAATTATATAAAATTATTTTTTTATAAATTTATTACATTTAAAATAAATAAATATGTTTAGACGAATAAAAAAGATATATTAAACATTATACACAATTTAAAAATTTTTATTACTTAAAAAAAATAAAGTGAGATGCTTAAAAATTTTTTAATTTCCTTAAAATTTTCATAAAGTAGAAATATTTACTTGATGCAAGTGTGTTTGAATTCGAACGACTAAATATTCATTGTTTATGATTTTTTTTATTTTAGATGAAAATTTAGTTAGGACTTTTGATCCAAGAAGTTGAAAGAACCTAAGCTAATAAACACAGTTTGGTACATGTCACGTGGGGCAAAAATTGATGTGATAATTTGGCCTTTCCATCTTGCCCTTGGAGCCAAGCATCTCATTAAATAACATTCGAGATCAGATGCTTTGGCTTGCCTTGCTTTTCATCTTGCCCTTCCATACAAGGCACGTTAGTACTACGTATATTTAATATGAGGAGAATAGGTGCATGCACCCTCTATTTTTGTTTGCTTTTACTTGACTAAACCTACCAAAAAAAAAACTTATTATTAAGCTTTGTGAACTCATCAAGTTGATATTTGAGATTAGAGCTTGTAATTTTAAACACAACCCCATTAAAATTACATATAATCAAGCTTATGTTTATGTTATAAACATGTTAATATGTTTATGATACACTAATTTCATATCACAATCATGCTAATTAAAAAGCTTAACATAAATACCTACATCTAACTTGTTTAATTGATCATATTATTATACCAAGATGAATAGCAAGATTAGTTTAATTCATTTACGATGCATGTTTAATATAAATATATAAAGATTAGTGTAACCTTTTAACTATGATATTGACAATTAATTTTAAAGTCATAATTGTGTTAATCGTATAACATTAAAATATTAATAAAAAATTAATTTTTTGTTTAAATTGATTATTCCTTAAAAATATTTAAATAAATTAAATTTGTTAATCATTTTCAAATGAGTTTATCATGTTAAATCAAGTTGTATAAAATTTAATAAATGAATTATTCACAGTAATACTCGTAAACAAATATATGTTCATGTTTAAAAAATTATTTAATTAACTGTATCGTTTTCATGTTAATCTTGTAATTGATGATATCCTATATACCCGACGGCATCATTAAGAGATGTAAATATAAATTGTCGTAATTACATAGCATATAGTCATATATAGACTTAATTATAAGTTATTAATTTGTACGTAGTTCAAAAGTGAAGCATGTTTTTAACTTATTCACTAGCTAGGGTGTGTGATTTATTCAATGGAGACTGAAAATGCTATGTTTGTTTGTTTTCTTTTATGTTTTTTAATTGTAGTTAGTCCATTATGATGTAATATACAATAATTTGGAGAATTGGAAAACAAAAACATTTTAAAATTTTTTTCTTGAGCACCTTTAAAATTTTCTCTTCGATGTCATAAAAATTGGAAAATTAAAAAGGAAAAATTTTCTGAACACTCCAAAATTTTCTTCTGATGACTTTTTTTATAAATAAAATTGATAAATTTATTAGTAATATTATATATATATATATATAATGTTGGAATTTGCAAAGCAAATGGTGCACATCATCTCCCACCCAACAATGTTAATGCTAGCTGTTCACTTTAATTTTTTGTTTGTGGGAGCACTAAACAAATGTGTGTCAAACACTTTGAGAACTCCACTTTCTCATTGGCCTCTCATTATGTCAAAGGGCAAAACAAAAAGACTCTCCAATTTAAAATCTATAAGTTCCTCCATTTTAACTCTTTCCCTTATTTTCATTCCTTTTCTTTGATTGGATTCTTGGATATTAATCTTTTTTATATCGATGGTGCATGGTAGCTCTCTTGATCTCTCTTGATATAACTACCAAAATTATTTTATTTTTTTTTACAAATGGGATTATAGTTTAAATATATGAAAAGAGGTTATAAATGTTAAAATTTAAATTTTAAATTTACTGAATATCACATTTTACGATGATGACGAGATTCAATTGAATTAAATTTGATTCAAAATTTTTTTGATAAAAATCTAATAGTTCAATAGTTAACACATTTGCACCTGATCAACATTTGATTCGATAGTTTATGCATAATTTTTTGCTCTAAAGGTAACTTCGAATCACCTTTTCCTCAAATTGAAAAAAAAAAAAGTTTAATTAGTTGTGGATTAAAATCTTAGCTATAGCTAGAAAAGTTATATAATTCATGAAATTGAGTATAATGGTTTATTATTAACCTACCTAAATTTTGATTTGATATAATTAGAAAAAAACCTAAATATATATAATAGTTAAAAAAAAATATTACTAGTAAAGCTATAAACCAATATAGTTAAGATGAAATAGTAAGTATATATTAATAATGAATATTATTCTCATTAATGGAAAAAAAATTATTTTGCTCAATATAAATGTATATATCATCTTCATTTAAAAAGCTGAATTTTAAGTACTCTATTTTCTTCCAAAATTATAATTTTTTTTTTAATTTTAATCCACCCTTAACCCACAATCTTTATATACTTAACTCATTTAAAGAAATTATTATACATTCAAGTCCAACTCGTAATTTCTAAAAATGTGATCAACATACGTATCATTCGAGCTATTACTTGATAAAATTTTTAAAATTATAATTGATTAAAGATATAATAATAATAATAATTAATAATTAATTATATTTACAGTGTATATAAGTAGCAAGTAGAAACAATGAAGGAGACATTTAGAATTGTATAATTATATCCAACAAAACCACTTAAAAATAAGCAAGAACTTTGAATTCATATCAAAGCCATTAATTCTTCTATCCCCGTACGTACAAGAATATTAATTGGTGGGACGAGAACAAACTGAGTTATTTCAGAAAATATTGAGGCAGTTGGGGTGGGTCAAAGGATCGAGCGGAGGAGAAAAAAAGGTGGGGTCACGGTCCATAAATCTTGACCAAAATATAAAGCCTCAACCCAATGGCCTGAGTCGAAAGGAAAAGGAAGCAAAAGAAAACAAAAGTGGTCACGTCATATCTTTTGGGTCA